TTAAATACTCGGACCCTTATTCGGACCCTCTTGCATGATGGCAGATATGTAATTGTGGCGTATATTTGCCATTTCTCATGCATTAGGGTTTAAACACTCGGACACTTATTCGGCCAATCTTGCATGATGGTAGACATGTAATTATGGTGTTTACTTGCCATTTCTCATGCATTATGGCTTAAACAATCGGACACTTATTCGGACCCTCTTGCATGATGGCAGATATGTAATTATGGTGTTTACTTGTCATTTCTCATGCATTATGGCTTAAACACTCGGACACTTATTCGGACCCTCTTGCATGATGGCAGATATGTAATTGTGGTGTTTGTTTGGCATTTCTCATGCATTACGGTTTAAACACTCGGACACTTATTCGAACCCTCTTGCATGATGCCAGATATGTAATTATGGTGTTTACTTGCCATTTCTCATGCATTATGGCTTAAAGACTCGGACACTTATTCGGACCCTCTTGCATGATGGCAGGTATGTAATTATGGTGTTTATTTGCCATTTCTCTTGCATTAGGGTTTAAACACTCGGACACTTATTGGGACCCTCTTGCATGATGGCAGATATGTAATTATGTTGTTTACTTGCCATTTCTCATGCATTAGGGTTTAAACACTCGGACACTTATTCGGACCCTCTTGCATGATGGGAGATATGTAATTGTAGGGTTTATTTGCCATTTCTCATGCATTAGGATTTAAACACGCGGACATTTATTCGGACCCTCTTGCATGATGGCAGATATGTAATTATGGTGTTTGTTTGCCATATCCCATGCATTACGGTTTCAACACTCGGACACTTATTCGGACGCTCTTGCATGATGGCAGATATGTAGTTATGGTGTTTACTTGCCGTTTCCCATGCATTAGGGGTTAAACACTCAGACACTTATTCAAACCCTCTTGCACGATGGCAGATATGTAATTATGGAGTTTACTTGTCATCTCTCATGCGTTAGGGCTTAAATACTCGGACCCTTATTCGGACCCTCTTGCATGATGGCAGATATGTACAAATGATGCACTACAACAAAAAAGGTCTTTGGTGACAGACTGATTTTGTCTCCAAACATCAAAATTTCGTCACTAAAGTGATCTGTGACGAAAAAAATTTGTCACCACGTTCGTGGCCTATACGTCGTCACAAAAAGTACCTGGTGACGAAAAACAGTTTCGTCACCTATTTTTCATTTTTGGCGACGAAATGTTTTGTCTCCAAATGTCGAATTTTTCGTCCTCTAAAACACCAATTTCGTCACCAAAATTAAATAATATTTTATTTTAATTATTTTTTGCAACGAAATATTTCGTCACCAAATATATTTTAGTGACGAAAGTTTTCCTCACCAATGATATGGATTAAGGTGACAAAAAAATTCATCACTAAAATGAGCAAAAAAGAAAATTATTCAATGACAACATTTTGTCACCAAATATTTCAATTTAGCGACGAAATATTCAGCAAATGTGACAAAATTATTCGTCATGTTTTTTGAAAACTAATAGCGACATTTTTTATTTCGTCACTAATAAAAATTAAAAATTTTGAAAATGAGGGTACTGGGGACGTCTACA